TGTGTACCGCTACAGTAAACGTCCAACAGCCCAGATCGAATCTAGGCCGATCTGACGATCACGGTTGTCCGAGAGTGTTAGAACTTTTAATTTTTTTTTTACAAATCGAAATGATCTGAAATTTGAAGTGTGTGTATATCTTAGTGATGTACACCTAATAAAAATATAAAAATAATAATTAGTAAAAAATATTGACCAAAATATCTCTAAAACTTTTCAAGATATTTTGGTTAATTTATTTCATGTAAAATATTTTTTTGATATTTTTCGTAGATTTACCTATTTTTTATAAACACACCTCCAAATTTCAGATCATTCCGATTGATAGAAAAAAATGAAAAATAAAACACTACTGAACATCCGTGATCGTCAGATAGGCCCAGATTTCACCAGGACCGTTCGACGTTTACTGTAGCGGTACACGAATCGGCGTACATTAGCATCCTCTCAAAGTCATCGTAAAGTTTTCAACATCCAGATCTTCCAATAGAATTTGAAGGGTACCTTACTTTGATTGCTTAAGGTAACGGCATTGTATAAACCTCACACCTTTCTTTGACTACACCAAACACTACTATTAAGTTCAAGAAGAAATTTCGCTAAAATGGTTTAAACACATCAAAAAAATAAGAAATTCAGAGTTGGACAAATCAATCAACTTTACCAAGATCATTTTACTAAACGTATCTCCTGAGTATTTTATTATAAAATACTCAAAATGTGGCTTCTAGGGTTTTTATTGTTAAATACATACGGGTATTTGAGCAAGTCTTCTTGTTATACAAGGGGGCCAAAAATTATCAAAATGCCCTAGATTCCAAACTGGGAACAACATGTTATAATAAAAGGAAAAAGTTTTTACAAGGATGCAACTTTATAATGTAGAACTACGGATGCACCTCAAAAATCTATCGAAAAAGGTAGTTTTAAAGTTGAAAAACCCTTTGATTGATCATCTCGACATTGAGATGTATGACCATGAAAAATAAAAAGATTTTAAGTCTAAAAAATAGTGCATTTTACAACTTATTATGTACACCGTCCATTTTCAAGAATTTCATATGTTTATAGATCTACTTGATTTTAACCATTTTTAAAATTTAAAATTCTATAATTACATATAAAATTAGATTTTGAGATAATCCTAAGAACATTTTACATCAAAATTATATACCATGAAAATTTTTGAAGGTGTACCTTACCTCTACACCTACGGATGCATCCGTATGCCAACTGCACCCTTAATAAAAAGATATATATTATGAATTTGGGAGTCCAAACAAGCATGTATAGTTTCTTTATTTAGCTCGGACTACTTGAGTTGGTAAATAATGTATGGGGTGCAGTTTGTATAAAGCCTAAGCTCTAAACAATCAAATTAGAGCCTACCTTCAAATAGTGTCGAGAAATGCGGTTTCAACACCGGAAATCTTTGTGATAGCCTTAAAATATATTTTCCTCTTAATTTATAAAGTTTAAAGCTTCCAAAATAGTGTAGATCAACACATCTATGAAAACTTGTTTGAAAATTGACAGTCAAAAAATGCATTACAAAATGCACCGTGTCCAAAACTAGAAATTTTTTTTTTTCTCATGTCCATGCATCTTGAGGTTGAGATGACCAATTTGTGGATATTAGGACATTAAAACAATCTCTTCTTGTGAAATTTTTATGTAGGCTCTAATTTGATTGTTTAGAGCAGTGTTTAAAAAAACGCCGAGTCGAACCGGACTCGCCCGGTTCGACTCGGGAATCGCCATGAACGGATAGAATCGGCGAAAAAAACGGGAATCGTCCGGTTCTAGAGAGAACCGGATGATTCTGTACAGTGACTCGCCGATTCACTGTACGGAATCGGCGAGTCCTGTACGGAATTTTTTTTTTTTTTT